GAGCACTGGAACATGCTGCCCAGGGAGGTTGTGGAGTCTCCTTCTCTGGAGATATTCAAGACCCGCCTGGACAAGGTCCTGTGCAGCCTGCTGTAGGTGACCCTGATTTTGCAGGGGGCTTGGACTAGATGACTCACAGACGTCCCTTCCAACCGCTACTATTCTGTGATTCTGTGATTCTGTGACTTGCTCTGTGGATGACTTTTCTCTCAATCAGGGCAGTCCGTGCATCTAGGGAACAAAGTCGTCGTGTGAAAAGATACAGATAGAAGAGTTGCCAAAAAAAAGAGATTTAGGAGATTGGAGCCTAGAGTGGTTTGTGCTTGCAGATGAGTTTTGAGTAGGGCAGGGACACGACTGCTGAGATCAAGGGACCTACTGAGGAAATGTGCAGTGGTGAGGAAGGCTTATCATTCTTGTTACACCCATCCAGATGGGAGAACTGGAAGCTGTGCATCTGTGGATGCAGCTGTACCCTTACAGGCATCCCAGTGTCACCACGGCGTCTGCTGTAACACCAGCCAGGCCGCTAGGAAACTAGTGGAGGGACCTTCTGCATCCGTGTCGGGGGTGTGAGTCTGACCGTGCTTTGAAGGTCGGTCCCAGCTGTGAGCAGGGACACAGCCTTCAGTCGCTTGAGGGGACTCGGTGTGCCTCTGCCAGCCCCTGGGAGAGAGCAAGAACCCTTGGGTGAGAGCAGAACGCGGTGCTGGGGTTGCTCAGCCGAGGGTTGCACGTCTGCCCGGTGCCCCTCCTCACCCCGTGAGAGGGCCAGCCTGGCCTGGGGACTGCCCAGCGTGATGTCGGGGCTCTGGTGGGGCAGGCGCCATGCCTCCCGGTTTCACACTGCTCCGGGCAGCGCTGCCAGGCAGCACAGGCACCTCCGCGCTCCCTGAGCCGCCGGCGCGGGCATTCTCTGCTACCCGTGCGCTTCATCCCAGACAGGCCAGGTTTGATGGACGCTGTGCTGGAGGCAGGGTAGGCCCTGTTAGCTTAGTCTTTCTTAATGGCCTCAAGTTGCGCCAGGGGAGGTTTAGATTGGATATTAGGAAAAATTTCTTTACTGAAAGAGTGGTCAGACATTGGAACAGGCTGCCCAGGGTGGTGGTGGAGTCACCATCCCTAGAGGTGTTCAAAAAAAGTGTAGACGTGGCACTTCGGGACATGGTTTAGTGGGCATGGTGGTGTTGGGTTGACTGTTGGACTTGGTGATCTTAGAGGTCTTTTCCAACCTTAATGATTCTGATTCTCTGTCAGGCTGATCGTCTCGCTGAAAAAGCCGAGGCTTGTGTGTTTAGGTACATAGGTGGTTGGTTCAGCTGCCAGAGCCTCGGATGGGCATCTGGGGTGCTGGAGAGGGCTGCAGTGCTGGAGGAGCTCATGATGGACGCTTGCCCAGCATGCTGCTTTGTCGCACCCGGGGATCGGGTGGCACAGGATAATCGCTCTGCTCTGCACAGCTGTGTAGGTGGGAAGAGGAGCAGGCTTGGGTACTCGAGCAGTTATTTAAGGAAAAAGGGTCTGGACTGCAGGAGCAGGGGTTGGTTTTAGTTGAGGGGACTATGCCATGCACTTTGTCATGATTGTTATATTGTCCACCACTGACCCTGAGCTCTATTTCCTTCATACCGCTCCCCAAAATGACCTCTCCTTAAGCCCCGAAGGTGCCCAGCTTAGCAGACTGATGGGCCTCATCCTGCTCCCACGTTATGCAGGGACAGGACAGGGGCAAGAAGAGCGACTGCATGCCCGGGGATACGGACCAAGGCTTTTCCAAAAGTAATGCGGTTTTGTGTGCGCAAGCGCAAACTGTGGGCAGCAAAATGGCATTAGCACGAGCCTCCATCACTGCTGGTTGTGTGCGGACGGCGGTGGAGGAGCAGGCAGGGCTTTGATGG